TCTGCCTGTTTCTCTCTCTCTCTCTCTCTCTCTCTGTGTGTGTGTGTGTGTGTGTGTGTGTGTGTGTGTGTGTGTGAGTGAGCTTGCCTCTGTACACAGGAGTGTATCTGTGAGCTCATGCTTTTCCAAATGTTGATCCTGGCCCTCATCTGATGGGCAAGGCTTGTGTCGGGCATGATGGTGAGAAACCAGAAGACTTGTTTGCAATTTCTTATTTGTTTAGGGTAAGGAAGTAAATCAATTGCAGAATTTTCTGGATTGGAGGGCAGGGGATATTTACTGTCAACAGGATAAGGACAAGGAGATGTAAAGATACTGGTCACCAAGGTGCACCTGGTATCAGAACAAGAGGATAAAAAAGACAGGGTGACTAACACCAGGGAACACCAGGTGGGCTCCAGCTCATTTCCATCAAGCCTCTTTTCTAATCGTCTATCATTCCCTGAAAGATGGCAGACGGATTCTCTCAGGTTGGAAAGGAAAACGGCAGTGAGCAGGCGCGAAGAGGCCAAGTCTCTGGTCCATGCTCACAGTTCCAGAGAAGTTTCATCCAGAGAGTAACATTGCTGGGAAAGCTGCCTACCAGTTTTGTCCTCCATCGTGAAAAGAAGCAGAAGGTTGCTGCTATCCTGGGGACAGACCAAGAGGCCATGAAGTCTCTTCCAGAGGGAGACTTACAAGATTACCTGCTGAGTAAGGTAAGCCAAGGCCTGCCTCTCCTGGGCACGCCCTCTTCCTCTCCACCCCACTGACACTGGTCCAGAAGGATTCCCCTGCTTCTGGAGATCATAAGATGGTTCTCTGAAACACAAGACCACTAACCTCAGCATGCTGAGGAAGTTTACCCAGCCAGGTCTTTTCTCTGAGGTTCTAGTGCCCAGAAGAATGCTGGGTACAAAATACAGAACAGACCTCTAGCTCTGTCCATTGCTGACACTTATGCGGCCAATTAATCTATCCAAGGCTCAGACTTCTTTTCCATCAAATGAGGGTCTGCATGGGGTCACTGGGAAATGACCAGCCAGGCACAGGCACAATGACACATACCTGTGACGCCAGCATTTGAGAGGCAGAGGCAGGAGATCAGAAGTGGAAGGTATCCTGGACTACATGAGACCTTGCCTCAAAAAACAAACAAACAAACAAACAAACAACAAATGAACTTATCACAAGGCTTTTAAAAACTGTAAAACTGATAGTTTTAAAAAATACTCTTTGGGAGCTGGAGAGACAGCTCACTGGTTAAAAGCATTCGCTGCAGTTCCAGAGGACCCAGGCTTGAGTCCCAGCTTCCACATGGTGGCTCACAACCACCTGTAATTCCACTTCTAGGGGATCCAACACTCTTTTTGGGTCCTCCTAGGGCACCAGGCACACTTGTGGTGCACAGACATGCATCCAGGCAAAATACCCATACACGTAAAATAAAAATAAAACCACAAATCTTTAAAGGATATTATTTCGTTTGTAAGTTGGGCATGGTGGTGCACATTTTTAGTCCCAGCACTCGGGAGTCAGAGGCAGGCAGATCTCTGTAAATTCAAGGCCAGCCTGGTCTATAGAGTGATACCTTGTCTCAAGGGGAAAAAAAAAAAACCAACAAAAAAAGAAAGACAGAAAGAAAAGAAAGCAGTGGGAGAGAAAGGGGCTAGTTTATTTCCATCTTAGGCTCTTTTGATGTCAGACTTTGTAGGGACCTTAAATATTATTGAATTTAAGATGGTCCAGTGTTCCACTTCCACATGAAGCTTCTAAGGCATGCAGTTAATGTTTAAACGAAAAGGTTTAAGCTGAGAGGTAGGGACTGCTCTCTGGCTTTCATGCCTTTGTATGTAAACAGAGCAAAGATTGTTATCACAGTGAGATATGAGTGCACTTTTTTAGACAAAACCATCATGGGAAGGTCTACGTGTGTAAAAAAACAATAGTGAACAAAATGAGTTCACATCACTCCTCTACACAGGAGCAGCGTTGACTGGCATCTTCCTGGGGTCCGGTGTTTTCTGGAAAAACAATATTCTGACTTTCTTAGCTTGGCGTTCAAGTGATTTCACCTGCCCGTTCTCTGACCCTCTGCCTCTGGGCATACCCACCCGCAGAAATCATAATTGGTATTCCCGATATGCAGTCCAGCCTGGGCTCATGCATGGTCTGTTTGGTCTATAGAGCATTTTCTAAAGTTTTCTTTCACAGACATTTCAAAATACTGAGACTTTGCATAGGAATCTGGATTTCTGCCTCCTATAGGGATTAAAGAATCGGGGTACATGGCAAGGGCAGGTCCTCTGTCTGGCCTGGAAATCATGGCTTGAGTGTTTGTTAGAATGTGTGCCAGCCAGTTCTCGGAGGCTGGAGCACTGGCCTCCAGTCTGACAGAGCTCCGTCTCTTGTCTCTGAAGGTGGACCAGCCTCCACATCTGTCCCATAAGAGTTACGTCCTAAACAGACTTCAGGCCTAGCTTCTCTCTCTCTCTCTCTCTCTCTCTCTCTCTCTCTCTCTCTCTCTCTCTCTCTCTCT